GGGTCATTACGGCTTTACAGGATAGAAATTATTTGTTTTTACTACGATTTTGAGGAATCGTGCTTATAGAGGGATATCATGTACTTCATAGGGGAGAAGTATATTATTATAACCCAATTTGAACACTTTACTGAAATCGAAAAGTTATGTATTGCTTTATTTCTTTATTTCAAGGCTTTGTAACTCCTGGACCAAATTATCGACCGAATTCTGCTTATTGGGGTCGAGGGCCCAAGAAATCGTTTGGAAATAGTCGTAAATCATTAGTTCAAGTCAACGATTTTCCAGGTATTTAGTAATGATCCATCCTTGCATTATAAATCAAATGGGTCTCTGTTTTATCTATTAATTACATATTTTCCTGATTTCGGCTGGTATTAGGTAACGGATTTTCAGGAATGTTCGTTGTCTATGACGATGGCTTATATTTTCTAATTATGATTTTCTGCATAAAGTGCAGGCTTAGTTAAGAATTTTAAAATTCAGCTAGTATAACTGATATAATTTCTTCTTGATTTACTTAATACTTTCAGGTCCTGCTAATTATAATATTAGAGAAGACAGCAAGGGCCCTGCCTATTCACTGGCCAAAAGAATATCTCTGAAAGGTTTGATAAACCTGTAAATACTGGTTTATTTGCTTTATTAAGGAAGCCTTTAATATGTAGTATTCCCCCATCACAAACCTTGATTGCTATATTGATTGTTGTTATTTTTCAAAACATGCTGCTGAAAAGAACCAACGTGTCACTATGGGGTCGTCTCGTTATTGTTCTCATGACAGGCAGGCATGGGGATTATCAAAAAAGGATTAATAGTCCGCTTCACAGAAATGTGGTTAACAATAAAAGTGGAATTCGACAAGAAAAACTGAATTGCACGAGAATTCATTCTGAAGTCAAATTCTGTATGTTTCTCCAAATTGCTTGTCGGAAATGAAAAAGGCAACCTTTCAGTTCGGACTCAAATACATCAAAAGCTGCGTTTTGTGCTGCAATTTAAAAATCGGTGAAGATGGTCGCAGGTGACAAATAAATAATTTTCTCTGCTGCTTTCTGTTTTGAAAGTTCAAAAAACGAACGGTATGCAGTCTGCTTCTTGCCTGATACTGGTTGTAATTTTAATAATATAATTATACGTTAACTAGATAAACCGTACTGTTGTAATGGTTTGAGAAGATTTGTTGTCGGGTTGTTAATAGTCAGCCTATCGTGTATCATTGACAATTTCTATAAGGATTGTGTTTTTTAAAGTCCTTTTGAAGCCGCAACCAATCCAGGGTTTCAGCAAGGGGTGGGAGAGAATTGCGCCCAAGACGCAAAAGGGACGCAAAGGTGAAAGGATGGGGTCGGTGTGGGTAGTCTCCCCGTAAAATTTAGAAACAGTACGGAACGTCGTCATTTCATCCTATTTCGGATCCCTGACCCATGAATTGACCCCCTGCCACCCCATTTCTCTGGATTCGCGCATTTAATCCCTGTATTAGTTGATTACGGTGAGCTGAGTGGAACAACAGCTTCATACGCCTTGCATTTAATACACTATTCACTAAAAACAAGAACAATCAGTGATATCAGATATTACACTCGAAGATCCGATTAATTGCCTACTCAATTGCATTGACTCAAATATATTAAATATATTATGTACTATTTTAATGTAACGACGGTTGAAATTATGTAATTAAACACATCCGAGAATTAAAATTAACCCTAGCGAACCTTAGGATAAAAAGCGCAATGATTTTACTTATACTGTTTGTTTAAGAGAAACCAATAGAAATCAATGTAAACTCAAAATAACCATAACTTTGTAGATTGGAATAATTCTTGGACCAAAATGGTTTTTGTATAGCATGTTGGGACTTTAAAGAAGACAATTCTTTAATTCAGTATCATCCACAGTCTTCGATATTGCAAACACGCCTTATTAGTCAATTAAATCAACATTCATGTTGTTATCTGACCGTGAAAAGTTGGACACCCTTGATATCCAATATAAGACAAAATGAAAATTTTAATATTCGCACACGAATCCAGTGCCAGAATGCTTTCGAGTGCCAGTTGTATAAAGCGACTCGGTGAACGAGGCTGAACATATTCAATGTAGGAAAATACTACCAGTGCAGACAGGAATAACCAGGCGCCAAAGATTGTCATTCAATTCAGACTCTTCGCTGAATATAACTGATTAGAAATTACAGTAGAAACAGAAACGATTGAATGTAAATCATTTTATATATACATTCATATTACAATTTTTATATGCGTTGCGACCCATTTGTGTCCATTTCTAGGTGCCAAAGAATAGCGATTTAGCTCCTTTAATTAATTTTTGGTTGTTTTCTAGCAATGCAAGACGATGTTCCATCACCCAATAAGTATGATGTAGGATCTACAATAGGCACTGCTGTTGCTAAGTCAATGACAGCCAGAAGAGAGGATTTACAGGGTCGGTAAGATATTCATGTTGTACCCTATTACAATTTCTCGCTTAAATAGCGAACCTGCAAGCCCATGTTGATCAAAAGAATCGATGACGGACGACATGTAATTTTAAACAATCGAATTGTGATATATCGATGAGAAAGGTCGTTTTCACTTGGGTGTGAATTGGATTAAATGTTTTTGACTTTTTGGGAAAGTTTGGTGAAAGCTCCTCGGAACTTTTTTAGTCTGACTTTCCGTGTCAGCGGTGCTGGGCAGACCGCCATGGAAGGCATAACGTCTATTCATCCGGATGTGACGATAAACCAAGGTCAAAATAAGAGTATGAGATCGCTGCCAGCTAAGATTTGCCCGGCGTATGCCCCTCTTCATAAGCCCTGAAACTCTAACTATTTCTATTTGTTTGACTCGTGTAGGAGTAACACACTTATAATAAAAGATTTCAGGAATTTGTCGTGGTTGGGCGTTAAAGAGGTTTCTAGTTCTTTGTTAATCCAATATAATAAATATAAAAATAAACGATTAACTTTAGAAGTGAAAAACATCTAAAAGATCTAAACTGGACCGGGTTTAGGTGGAGGAAGGGCTAACTGGGCTGCAGTCGGAGTCCCCGGAATTAGTTTTAAAAGAATTTGTTCCATAATTGTATTGTATATGTTTGTGCCAAATAAGTGTATTTGCCATACTGACATACACATTGCATTTGTGTTAGTATGTGACGGACAATGACCAGAATATGTCCCCCTTTTCATTGTTGATGCAAGCGTTCCAATGACATTTCCAACCAGGGACCCCATACAAGCTTAATCAGGCCCTAAATCTGAATGGTTACCAACCACTTCATGCAATAAATTATTATATATGTCTGCTCTGTTCTACATTTACAGGACGTCGATATGGTCCAGCACCAAATTCTTATGCTTTAAAATCAACACTCATGGATAAAAGTAATGCGAAAACATTAAAATATAGATGGTTTGATACAAATGGTATGTAAGTGTATAATCCTAAAGAAAATTATTTTAAACTGAAACGCAATGGTCATCTATATTTGTGTTTAATCGTGAATATAAGAATTGAGCAAATGCTGATGTTTTTGCATATCAAATATTTTTTGTATAAACCATGTTTTCGTGATGGTTATTACGTATCAAGTTCAATAATTACTATTTCAAGGCCCGGTTCCTTGAAAATTCTTAAAGTAAGCACAAGTCATGTTTCACTTTTTCTTACGTAAGAAACTTTATAGACCGTTCTTACGTATAAGCACAAGTCAAGTATGAGTCTAAGCACATTGTGACTGGTAAACTGAGACTACGATGCTCTCTAACGTCAAGAAAACAATTTTGGTATGCGAATTATGTCATAAATTGGTCGTCTGCTTCCCGGCAAATGGTCGATTTAAATGCATTAGACATGACCCCTGTTGACATATAAAATGTGCCACAAGCTAAAAAAACAAAAAAAAAACGCAAGCACATGCAAACGGACTGAATAATTGTGAGAGCGCATGATCTTAAAGTCGCCCGTGTGTTTGTGTTGTTTACTAATTGGTAAATAAACAAGCCAACAGTGAGGCTTATGTCCCCCGCCGAAATCCCAAAATGAATAGATGACACATATTACTTAATCGCACATTTATTTTTTTCAAAAGTATCGAGCAATCAAAATATACACTAAGTATCATCACTGTATCAGATAGATGTAATGAAATTGATGTAATGAAATTATACACCAAGTTTCATCACTCTCACTTAATTAGAACTAAAGTTATCGTGTTCCAAAGCATCAACCAATCAAATTGTTTATCTCTGCTTACCCTAAGCAGAAAATCTTCAAACTCCGTCAAGGCATTGACCTAATAAACACCGACACTAAGTTTGAACATTCTAGCTCAATTAGAAAGATAGTTATTGTGTCCCAAAAAGTGTGACAGACAGACGGACGGACAGACAGACAGGCCCACTTTAATAGTCCCCTGCCTTCTTCGCAAGGCGGGGGACAATAAATTGTTTAAGGGTAGAAGCGAAATTTTCTAACATTCTTCTCAAGAACATGTTTCTAAAGGATTTTCTCTTTCTTTCAATTGTCTCTTTGGTATCAAAAGATGTAGGAAATGCCGCCGAATAACTCTACGGTCAGCCATCTTATTTGAAGCAAAAATAGGCTTAAGGTTGGTAAGCAAGCCGTATACCTTGCTTGGGACTTGTGCTTAGATTGACAATGTTTAAGAACGAAGTTGTGCTTAAGTTTTTTCTTTGAACACATAATAACGTGCTTGTGCTTACACTGAAGTCTACTTAAAATCTAAGCACAAGACAGTTCTTTAGAATTTTCTGGGAAATCAAAATAAGATAAATTTACTTAAATGCAAAGTCTACTTAAAATCTAAGCACAAGAACGTGCATAAGAATTTTCTAGGAATCGGGTACAGGTATCTAAGGCCATTAACATACGATTACGAAAAGCCCTGAGAGTAAGTAACATGTTTTGGGGCCGGAAGCGATATTTATATGTTGTTAAAATTTTAATTGCGTTTTATCAATAGTTGAATACTACCAACCTGGTCCAGCGGATTATCATACGAAACCGGAAGTAATACAACCAAGGAATCCAGCATACAGTTGTCGTAAAAGAACTCCCATGTCTTATCCCGAAAGTAAACATTTAAATGTTGATGCAGGTAAGCTTACGTTTAGAAGTATAGTAACTTTCATATCAGGCGTAGACGGTTTTACTTTAAGATGCATTTTGAAAGATTTAAATAAAGAGCTGGACGTTCTTGCTATAATAATTTTAAAATAGATAAAGAAAATTGAATATATTAAAAATTTCATTCAAATGACTTTATTCTTAGAGAAGTAATGACTGTTTGGAGATATAGTGTAGGTCCTTCATTATCGTAAGATTGGTACTTGAAACCCGAGACTTGGCCTCGATTGTCCATTTTATAGATAAATTTTAAAATCTCGCGGGGGGTTCAAATCCATTTTAATCTCGGTCATTCGGTGGTCTAGATAGTTGATTATAATCTTGTCATGTTAATAAATGTCTAAAGAATACTAAATTTAAAACAAGACCTGCAGTAGGCAGATATAGCTCTTACATAGTGCATACTTTAATGTGGTTTAAACGTCACAATGCAGCATATATTTACTTTTTGGACTGGTCCCAAATCCCTGCCCATCTTGCTGTTCTGCTTGTGGATAAAAGGAATATCCAGGAAAATATAAATTAATACAAATCGAGAGGAACTGTTTTACGTTATGAGGTTACTGAATCTGTAAAAAAAAAGTCTATGGTTCACGTGTACCATCATCAACATGAAAATCTGAAATTGACACCTGTAATTAATTATTAGAGTTTTGATAATTGTCAATCTGATGCATGTAATTTCATGAAATGTACTTACCTTATATGGTAAACATACGGCAGGTTTAATACATCCGGATTCAAACCAATTTAATAACTTAGTATGTTATTTATATCTACTTCGCGGTAAAAATATTTCCTACCAATCGACTACCCATGTAACGATTGAATCATTTGTTTCCATATCGAGTCACTGAAACCAAAATAGTTGTTTTCATAATAATGTTTGGTTATCTATTACTGGCACCGATATAATAATTACTGGTATTTGATCTGATAATGGAGTCGGTTCGTCATGCTGTCATCAACTTAACTATAAGATAACATATTATGTACCGCACTACCAACAGACATGCCGTGTGTTTAAATGAGCTGACAATCCTCGCAACATCTGTTACCTAACCAAATATCAGTAATGTATTTTCGATATCGATATATGCCTTGGTAAGTCAATAATAATACTACACTAATAAAAACACAACGTTATATACTTATACTACCCGAAAAAGCAACCATACAGGAGACCCAATTCATGAACAACATACCTTATGATAACCTTATTTACTTCTAGAAAATAAAAGTTAATGATGGTATAAGTGAACCATAGATTTATTTTGTTTTTACTACAGATTCAATAACCTCATAATGTTTAGATAAACTAAACTCAAGGTTTTAAGAAACAAATTTGCAATAAAAGGAATTAAGAAAGGTTTACAAAAGGAAGTTGCATATTACGTTGTTTTATTTCGGAGCCGGGTGGAGGCGCTCATGCAACACGGTTAATGAGCAATTTTTCCTGAGCTAATCGGGATATATTTCCTTATCTGACATCATGCAAATGATTTTAGAATCCAACACCATCTAAAGCGGTGTAATCTTGAACACTTTAAATCGCGCCATCCTTCCAAATGCACCTCAAGATTAGAAATGGTTGTGGGGGGGGGGGGGGATTGACGATGTCAATTAGATTCTAAACTGGTATGCTAAAACACAGAGAACATGAAGATTTGTAATCTAAAGCATATGACGAAACCAAATAGAGTGAAATATTTTTTAAATATTATGTCAGCACATAAGTCCGGAAACTTTTGTAAAAAGTTCAAGAGCTTTCTTAGCCAGTTCAGATAAATTAATATTAATATACCAAATGTATTCATAGAGCGCTGTTCATAATGTTCACGTCCTATGAATTCATTTGTATTATTATAAATCGGGCGACTATTTTTAGAATCATTATGTTAAATCGTGACTAGAATAGTGCGCTCTCTTTTCTTTTTAAAATAATGAATACATCCTGCTCAATTTAATCACATAACAAATGGCAATCTTTATTTGATTTGGACTATGCCGGTAAAAGTTTGAATCTATTATTAGCCATGTTCCAGATAAAGAAGGGCATATTAAAAATTAACATGTGATATTCGATATTAAAATAATATCAGGAGAAAATGGTTTTAAAATAGCAGCCATTACTCTCTGACATGAATAAACACTCAACCAACTCAATATATTATTGTGTTGAAGTTATTTTCAAATAGATTCAAAAAAGTTTTTGTTAAACCATGGACCGAAATAAGATCTATGGTTAAACATACTTTCACGTAACAAGATGTTTTCTTTATTTTCAGATAAAATTCCAGGACCTGCGAATTATCTAATAGTGCACGAATTTATAAAGAATGATAGTCCGGCATTTTCTATGGGCCGCAGAAGTAAACCATTGCAAACGGGTAAGTGATACTGGTATTAAATAGGTTATTTGATTTGGATGTAAGTAATATAAGTTACCTGTATATGAGTATGAGAACTATGCCAGTTAGCTGGTACTGAATTGATGTACTATTATACCTGAATGGCTTTAGTAAGTTACTTGTATCTAAATGGGGGTGGGGGGATGGCCGAATGGTTTGCACGCGTCTGTCATTGAGTCAACTGGCGGGGTTTCGAATCCTCCCCGGTTGTACGTGACAAGGGGTAGGGTCGCCTGTCCAACCTCGTGGGTTTTCTCCGGGTCCTCCGGTTTCCTCCCACTGCCAAAGACACCTACGCGCAAGCGAATTATTGAAATAAAATTGAACCATGTGTTAGTCCCGAAATGACCTAGTTTGTGTCGACTGGACGTTAAACCCTCTCTCTCTCTCTCTCTCTCTCTCTAAATGGGGTATTATACCTTGAACTTCAGTAAGTTAACTGTATCGAATGTGAGCACTAGTGTACCTTTAGTAAGTTACCATTAACTATTATGTACCTTTAGTAAGTTATCTGTATCTCAACGTGAGCAGTGTTATACTTGTAAGTTACATACATCTGACTATGAGCACAAATAATAAAATCTAAACATGAGCAGTATTATACCTCTAGTAAGTACCTATATCTGAATGTGAGCAATATTCTTTGGTAAGTTACCTATATCTGAGTGAACACTATTCTTATGTAAGTTGCTTGTATCTAAATGCGGGTACTATTATATTAGTATTGATTATAACGTGAGGGTTGGTATGTTTGTATTTTAACAGGGACATCCAAATCACACCCATACCCCTACAAACATACATAACTATCTGAATAAAAGATTGTGGTCTTGCTTTGCTTAACCTATACCAAACGCCAAAACATAAATTTGGACCATATGCATCAGTGCATTTTTTATTAGCATATGCTACAATCTGATAGGTTTATTTTTTGAAAGGCAATAATTTACTTCTAGGAATTGGATATATTATCACCAATTGGTTAATGCACATATAGTTTTCATTAGTGACTTTCTAGATCACACAGTCGCTTCGTTAAACTATCTGTTGTACCAGATTTTGTCAGGAAATAGGTAATGAAACAAAGGGGATTTCCCATAACCAAGCATTCGGTTCACATCCAGTCCAACGAAGCAGCGCTTAAAGTTGGAATTGTAAATAATAACGCTATGAAATGACCAATTTTGTGACATTGGGGGTTGTATAAGAATTAAATAATGTCTTGTATGCAATAAAACGGAATGAAAGTGTTACATCTAGTGAGTATTGTGAGATAATCGAGTCAAAACAATATGGCGTGTGATAGGCGTTTTTAGACAGGATAATGTAAGAAATTTTAATCCCTTCAAGTGCATATAGCTCTATTCCTTGGGACTAAAAGCACACATGTAATATGAGTGTATATAAAGTGGTTTATATATAACTTTTCAATTTTTTATTGTAGTTTCTAATCAATTATGCTCTTTTCATTGTGGTAATTCTATTTTGAAATGCTTTAATTATTTTTAGAAATAATTTCAAAAACAGTTTCAGAATAGTACCTGTAGCGAATAAGAAAGTTAGTATCGCTGACGCATTAACTTGGCACGATTTCACTCATCTCAATGATATAGCAAAAATTCGCTACTGATAGCTTTGCAAGATCTTTAATTTACCCTTCCAATATTAATGCATAATTAAAATATAAAATATTGGGCGTGGGAGTAAAAAGTATTGATGTATTCTTATATAATTTATGACCTTATTGATCTTTCTGAAATTCTATTTGTTGTGTTATACGTTATCACGGAACACTATCTCGTGAATATCAATTTTCAAATTTATTAAGAATATCCAGTTGTGAATATTTATCAGCAATTGAACGCTTGCAAACATGTACTAAGCTTGTAAAGTAAGACTGAATTTCTCTTGTCGGCGTTCTGGTTTATGGCTCTTTGGTATTACAATTTATTAGACCAATATCTAAATTGTTTAGTGATATTAGAGCAAAACAAATACATTATCGTGTTTTCATCGACCACCATTAACCCTGTTTACACATTAGCAGGAAATTTAGACTCATAGACGCATGGTTCTACTACTGGCTATCGGGTACCTTCTCAGACAATCCTCGATTAGTAAACAAATTGATAAATTAATTAAAAACACACCCGAGTCAATATAGTAACCATGGTGACGTTTACTAAAAATGACAAGCCCGTGATTGTAATGGACGATATTGAGTCCGCTTATCATAATATAAATGCACCTCGTTGTCTTTCCCCGCCAAATTGTCCCAAAGCTACGTCATCGAGCAACCCTTCAAGAGCACATTAATGTTCCCGCGGGGAAAAAGATATGCGAAGCAATTAAAACATAATTCATTACATAGTCATATGATTTGTTTACCATATTCTTATTTCAATCCCAGAAGACCTTATTTTTGCTTTAATAGACGCATCAAACATTTTCACTGGTGTATTTATGTTATTGGTCTATAATGTGTGTCTTGAATTACGAAATATGACATTTCATATGGAAGTATAAAATCGTCGCCCCTGTCTGTCACATCTGGACGTCCGTTCACATTTGTTTGTGGACACTCTACATGTCACAATTTTTATTCGGTTATTATCCTGTCGATATTGGCATTTATCGGACAATAACTTCGTGGATTATGGCCCCTGATTGTACGACAAATCTCATTTTTAGCTTGTGGACCCTCTACAGGTTACAATTTTAATTCGATTTTGAAGAAACATGAAATGTTTATAACACAAAGCTCTCATCTCCTTTCGACATTGATGCATATCAGAACCTAACTCCCTAGATTGACCCCTGATTGTACTACAAATCATGTTTTTAGCTTGTGGACCCTAGGAAAGTTACAATTTTTATCCGATTTTGATGAAACTTAAAATGTATGGTTATAACCCAAAGATCTCGCTTCCTAGATTGTGGCACTTTATTGTATGAAGTGAAATAGCCTTTTTTTTCTTTTTTTTTTATTATATTTAGCTTGTGTCTCTGCCATCTTTCGCAAACTCTGGGCGTATCTTGTATGTCAACAGCTTGTTTAGTATAGTAATTAATGTGGTAATTCAAAAATGTTCTACTGATGAATGCAACAATTGCCCACTGCTTTATGAATTAATAAAGATGATGCATTTGGAGACATTCACCCAGACCACTATGCCACGGTGCTTCAGATTCCCAGTGATTCTATCATAACCTTAAGAACAAAACCAAAGACCTGGTACGTGACAAAGAGAAAATACCGGGTAATACCAATTTCTAGACCTGTTAGTCTCCATTGATCTAAAAGTAAGACGAGGGTATTATTTGCTGTATTCGAGTAAAAATCGAGATTAACGGTTTTATAGGAGATTTCGAATTCATCGGCTGCCACAAAATTTCAATACTAAACGAGAAAGGGTTCGGGACAAAAATTCATAAAGGGATTTCAGTGAATAATATTAATTCGATACCAATATCTATGCGGGTCTTAATACAGGGATGACTTAACGGGTCTATTGGTTTGGCTATAGAGCGATTTAAAATGGCCTTTCGTTAGTTATCGACCTGCTGTTGTGGGTCCCAACAATATTCTAAATAGGTGGTCCCAAACTCAGATGGGAGATGCAGACTGCACAGCCGTTGGTGTTGGTAGTTTGACAATTGCTGAATTTTTGGATCTTTTATAATATAATCGATTTTTTTTTCTTCAGAAGAACGTCCTGGACCGAATAGATACTATGTCGAAAAATTCAAGAAACCTGGAGCTTCTACGGCACCCGCATTTAGTATGGGTAAACGCATTGAAAGAGTTCATCTAAGTAAGTAAACCTACACTCCTCAGTTGTATGAAAATGTGTCTCTTCTTGCCAGAAAATTGTAAACTTGGCACGCAAAATATAGATTACTGTCCACTAACAAAACCTTAGTCTATGTAGGTAACTAAATATAATTTCTTATATTTTTCTTATTTGACTGCACTGGCAAAAATACATAGTAGGCAATCGTCGATCAAACTCAAAGTCGGTAAATGTATTCAAGACAAAATAGTACGTGGACTTATCAGAGCAATTTATCAAGTAACTGTCATTAGCATGGCAAAGCAGTATCACGCAACACCCATTCCTTACACTAAACTGCGAGATCCTTCTTCAGTCGGTCAACAGTGGATTGGATCCGAAGTTGGATTTGGCAGCCACATTGACGAAAAGGGCTGATCTTCGCTGTTTACTAGCTGCTCTACTGTGTACTTAAATTTGACAATAAATGGATAGTCATCGTTAATAAGATTATTATTATTTAGACATTTATTCACATGACAATCCCATAATGGACTCTCTATATCACCGAATTGACTTAGATTTCGAGTGGGCTGAAAGGTCACCTGAATCTCGGTTTAGGTATTTGTAATCAACCATATAATGATCTGTTCAGAATGGGGTAATAATATTGGAAATATCTATAAATTCAAGTCATTTAAATAAAATCCAGTTTAGCTTTGATTTTGCTTTTTCTATGTATTATTCTGTTTTGATGTCGGTTTTTAATTCAAAAAACAAATACCACCGACTGTGATGATAGGATATTTTACAGTAATCACCTGTATTATTGACGTCTCTGCAATAGTTCGATAAACCTACGGAAACAACCTGGAGAGACATTATTAGGTTAACAGATGGTGCCATGATGCACGACACCTTCCTGCAACCAATCAAAGCACACTTACAAACACGTAGGTTATGTTTGAAAACAAAATTAAGTGCTTATCAACTTGTCTTAAACAAATAATATCGACCAAACAATGTAGCGTGGTTGAACATATTGAAATCTCAAAGTAAAATGTATTCATGGCAAGTCAAGATCTGATGATAACTTCCTACTACAAAATAAACAACAGTCTGCAATAAACTGAAAATTAATGCGACAACAAGACGGGAAAAATATCTTTGGAAACTAATAGCTATAATCTATCCGACGTGAAGGCAATATTCTGAAACATAATTCTTTCCAAAGTTATTTTAAATCGGTTCTTTTTTTCAGACCGCAAATCATTTTATCAGAATTATAAAAGCTAGAGCGCGAAGTCACAGTTTGAAATGGGCTATGAACATCGTTTTATTATCTAACCTTCATTTTATTTGTTCTAATCTGCTGAATTACAAGATAGATTATAACTCGTATGTCTCTCTAATGTAAATAAGAAATGATTAGTTGAACATTTAGTCTCCCAAAAGAGTAAGCGAATCACCTTTTGTTTTCAACTCTGGTATTTGGTTATGTCACCATTGATCTTAATAATGGTTACGGATATTTCCCCTGGAGTTACACTTGCCATTTCGTTTCAATTCATTTTTCTCCTGTACATATGTCTTCCCCTCTAAAAAATTTATAGTCAAAAGCAAAAATTTCCCTAAATAATTTTTTTCAGTTTTCTGACACATTTCAGATTCATCTGCGATCATGTATCATTTTAGATTCAAACCGTTATGCTTTGCTGGGCGAGAAATATACATGTACAAAAGTTAGGAAGCTCTTTGTCCATTGTTACTTGCAGGTAAAGGAAGTCCAGGACCAGCAGCATATATGCCAACTTTACCACGCAATGCCCCCAGTCATTCCATGTCTAAACGCACTAAAGATCTTAAAGGTTAGTATACTAACTACACCCGGGGGGGGGGGGGGTCTAGTTTGTATCCTAGATTGTGTCGAGTGGACGTTTTAACAATGCATTCAATACGTGTTTAATGTTATCGATGATTTACATTATTATTCCTGTGAGTGTTTGTGTAGGAGGGGGGGGGGTGGCAGTCCACTGTTTTTCCCGGGGCATACAACGCTGTTAAGACGTCCCTGATAGTCGTTTTACACCAATTGGTAGAAGGGCTCGAGAAAAACCGCCTGGACCTTTCAATCTCAGTGGCCACCAGTTAGTTGTTAAGGACCAAAATGACTTACATCGCACTGAAAATTAGTCCCTGAAACATTTATAACCCGTAGAGGAGTGAGTAATTGCCATTGTAAGAAAATATTAACGAATACAACAAGGTCATTTGGTTCTGAAAAATCAAGCAATAGCTACCCGCTTTTCATTGGATATTACTTACTGCAATAAGAAAATTGTTTCATTAATCTTATCTATTTATACTCTTTCTGAACACGCATTTTCTCTATAACTTTTGGGTCAAAAGCGGCGTATAGAACCCTTTAGAAAAACGTGTAATCAATCAAATGAATTTTTTGTGCAACAGATGTATTGATACAATTGATTATATGCCGGTGATCTATTGCACTAAATGTATTAGATGAAATGACACGAACATCACAAATTATTAATTTTCATGAAACATGGTGACGATAACAAGATATTTCTACATTGTCGCATCGCATCCGGCACACTTAGATGCACTATATAACATTATTTTCAGAATATTCTGTAAACTGTTCTGAAATTGGTTGCAATGGGGTTTAAGGGCCAAACTCTTCTGCATCAACCGGGATAATGAAAAGAATTTTGACTTGGACAGGACGTTTCTGGCTAATCTTCAACGAATTCCACTGTCAAAGTTTCTTTTAGGTACACGCCAACGTGTACATGGGAACTAGGTTTTCGTCCCATCAGAACGACTAGCCGATGTTCCTTATTGACAGGACCTCCTTTCTACATCACTAATATGGAAAAATCCATTTGATTTATTTAACAATGGATGAATTCCTGTGCGACAGATGATTCTAGGTGTTACCATTATTTATTTCACATTATCCCACTACTTAATATGTGCGTTATCGCATTTTTATTTTCCTTTGTATATTTTAAGGCTTTACTAACCCAGCCCCGAATGCCCACGTACCACCTTCAAATCAAACAGAAAAGGGTATCCCAACAAATATGGGCATCTGCTTTAAAGGAAGACCTACTCCGTGGATGTATTCTGGTTTCAGAACTACAAATTTAACAGAAGCTACATCGGCGTAATAGTTTTATTTTGTCTTTGATGCCATCATTTTTGTTTCACGGTTATTTTTATATATTCTATACTTTTATTTATATATCCATCTACAATATTTAACATATTAATTTTATCCAAATATATATTTTGTATTCTTTATCTTTACATGTAATGTAAAACCTTCGGGTTATTTTGAGGGTTTAACTTTGTCATAAATATATACAGGACAGTTATTTGCTGGTAGTTCTATGTTTTGCAAATCCCATATACGATGGTCCGATAACAGGCGGATCAAACGTACCATTGTCCGAAATATCAAAGCAAAATGTTTGAACAAAGCCCTGTTGTAAAGTCTGGGAAATTATCATAAAAGCACAAAATAGTCGAAACCATGATGTTCTGTTAAAAGTTATCGAGGTCAGAAGAATTCGACCATAGAGTGGTTCAGGGTTTGAAGAAAATCTAACTGACAGACAATATTTGGGGCTTATAAACATTATATGATAAGGCTTACAATAAAAACTTCATACATCAACAATGGAAGTCTGACCACGTTTGATTTTTGAGGATGTAACCATTTGGAAATGTGTTTTTAAATGCTTCAAAGTATGATCGCCTCCCATTATCAAGGGAGTTAAATCTTAGTGACAATACGACTTGCAGTTCTTGGTTACATTAAAATATCAAATTTTGATCTGGAAGGAATACTCAATTCGGTAATATTCGGATTTTTTAACGTACGTACAAATAACGATTGAATTTAACGTTTGTACGCATGCGCAGCTCCAAGTTTTTTGAACGAGAGAGGGAGAGAGAGAGTAAACAACTCCAAATATCAGTAACATTTTCGGCTGATTTTTTATAAATGCATTAGACCATAATTGAAACTTTCATATAAACGCAAGATGTAGAAAGTGCTTACTAAACTTATATTGTGGATGTTAAATACCATTTATAATATTCCTATTATGTTTCCAATAATTATCACAGCTAAATATGAAAATAAGTACACATCTAAAATAGAGCACAACGACACACGCCCTAAAAAGATTAGAATTCGATTGCTGTGACCAGTACCGTAAGTTTACTTTAATCATACAACCCTGTTAAATCCAGTAGACGTGGTACAAGGGTTAATCAGCGAACTGGATGTATGAGATGTGTTGTTGACGTTTGGGAAAGTAGGACGAGGGGAAATGTGTAGGGAGTGAAGTGCTGTAAAGGGATAGTTAGATGTATTATGAATGGTTAGAGTGGCTGTGGTGTTACGGTGAAATACTATGCCGCCACCGTAACACCACAGCTTTATGATTTGTTAGACAGGAGTGATGTAATGGGTGTCAACAACTGGGTATGCTGGTACCGTCGCAACGTAGCCGTGAAATATATATTGTGGGGGGGGAGGGCGGAAACGGAAAAATATACAATGTTGACAGTATGTGCCAGGCATGAGGCTGCGCAGACCGAGCGGCAGCTCGATAGGGAGTGTGTGGGAGGGTCACCCTCATAAAAAAATTTTTTTTTAAATTTCAGTTTTCTGTAAGCAGTGAAAACACTATTTTGGCATTGTTTGCGGGGTTAAACCTAAAAATCACATTAATACACCTATTGCACGATATTGTGAAACTAGCTGACGAAGACAGCTCGGGCGGCGATTGTTCGACTCGGGGCTGCTCTGTCAGTATCTAACAAACGCATTTAGTTCGCGTACAACTTTTAAAAACCGAATGTCAGTATGGTATTTCTCACATAATTGGTTATCGCAAAAACAGAGTAAACTGAAAGCGAGTAATCTCGACTCAAACCTATAGTCTATAGCCTACTTACAGTACTACACTCGTCACTCGTCTTCCTATATTATTGTTTGTGAACGGTTTACTACTCAGTGATAAGCCTGCGCCGCAAAAAGAGGTCTCGCCTTTTATTATTAGTATAATGACTTCCTCATGTGCGGCAGGTTAGTTTGCTTCTAAAAACACTGTTTTCCGTTCCAAAAAATACAAAAGTAATTTTCTACCAGATGACCATGGTTCTTTTCACCGAGACTAGATAATTTCTCTCGGTGTAAGGATATAGCTATGGATAAGTTCATACAAGGTCAATAAATCCGCGGTCACTTCGGGTCACACTGTTGAGAAAATAAACCGATGGGTTTGTTTAGTAGCAAATCGAGCGTGAATCAACTGATTTTGTACTGAAAATTTTTTGAGTGATATGTATGAACTGTCTTCACACATTCGGTTTATAATTAGCGATATACAGGTACAGTGGCAAGTGTTGTACTTCACAGACTGTTTACCTCCGAACTACCTCCGCACGAAATCCCCGATTTGGGTACTTGTTAAAAGAAAAAGAAATAGTACCTGTGCGCATGCCAGTAAAAAAAAACCTAAGAGTTCGCGCATAAAAATGCCCGAACGTACCAGGCGCCAGGTCATCCAGTAGACGTGGTACAAGGGTTAATCAGCGAACTGGATGTATGAGATGTGTTGTTGACGTTTGGGAAAGTAGGACGAGGGGAAATGTGTAGGGAGTGAAGTGCTGTAAAGGGATAGTTAGATGTAGTATGAATGGTTAGAGTGGCTGTGGTGTTACGGTGAAATACTATGCCGCCACCGTAACACCACAGCTTTATGATTTGTTAGACAGGAGTGATGTAATGGGTGTCAACAACTGGGTATGCTGGTACCGTCGCAACGTAGCCGTGAAATATATATTGTGGGGGGGGGGGGGGCGGAAACGGAAAAATATACAATGTTGACAGTATGTGCCAGGCATGAGGCTGCGCAGACCGAGCGGCAGCTCGATAGGGAGTGTGTGGGAGGGTCACCCTCATAAAAAAAAAATTTTTTAAATTTCAGTTTTCTGTAAGCAGTGAAAACACTATTTTGGCATTGTTTGCGGGGTTAAACCTAAAAATCACATTAATACACCTATTGCACGATATTGTGAAACTAGCTGACGAAGACAGCTCGGGCGGCGATTGTTCGACTCGGGGCTGCTCTGTCAGTATCTAACAAACGCATTTAGTTGGCGTACAACTTCTAAAAACCGAATGTCAGTATGGTATTTCTCACATAATTGGTTATCGCAAAAACAGAGTAAACTGAAAGCGAGTAATCTCGTCACTAGGCTTCCTATATTATTGTTTGTGGACGGTTTACTACTCAGTGATAAGCCTGCGCCGCAAAAAGAGGTCTCGCCTTTTATTATTAGTATAATGACTTCCTCACGTGCGGCAGGTTAGTTTGCTTCTAAAAACACTGTTTTCCGTTCCAAAAAATACAAAAGTAATTTTCTACCAGATGGCCATGGTTCTTTTCACCGAGACTAGATAATTTCTCTCGGTGTAAGGATATAGCTATGGATAAGTTCATACAAGGTCAATAAATCCGCGGTCACTTCGGGTCACACTGTTGAGAAAATAAACCGATGGGTTTGTTTAGTAGCAAATCGAGCGTGAATCAACTGAGTTTGTACTGAAAAATTTTTGAGTGATATGTATGAACTGTCTTCACACATTCGGTTTATAGTTAGCGATACACAGGTACATTGGCAAGTGTTGTACTTCACAGACTGTTTACCTCCGAACTACCTCCGCACGAAATCCCCGATTTGGGTACTTGTTAAAAGAAAAAGAAATAGTACCTGTGCGCATGCCAGTGACGTTTGGGAAAGTAGGACGAGGGGAAATGTGTAGGGAGTGAAGTGCTGTAAAGGGGTAGTTAGATGTATTATGAATGGTTAGAGTGGCTGTGGTGTTACGGTGAAATACTATGCCGCCACCGTAACACCACAGCTTTATGATTTGTTAGACAGGAGTGATGTAATGGGTGTCAACAACTGGGTATGCTGGTACCGTCGCAACGTAGCCGTGAAATATATATTGTGGGGGGAAGGGCGGAAACGGAAAAATATACAATGTTGACAGTATGTGCCAGGCATGAGGCTGCGCAGACCGAGCGGCAGCTCGATAGGGAGTGTCACCCTCATAAAAAAAAATTTTTTTAAATTTCAGTTTTCTGTAAGCAGTGAAAACACTATTTTGGCATTGTTTGCGGGGTTAATCCTAAAAATCACATTAATACACCTATTGCACGATATTGTGAAACTAGCTGACGAAGACAGCTCGGGCGGCGATTGTTCGACTCGGGGCTGCTCTATCAGTATCTAACAAACGCATTTAGTTCGCGTACAACTTTTAAAAACCGAATGTCAGTATGGTATTTCTCACATAATTGGTTATCGCAAAAACAGAGTAAACTGAAAGCCAGTAATCTCGACTCAAACCTATAGTCTATAGCCCACTTACTACACTGTCACTAGGCTTCCTATATTATTGTTTGTGGACGGTTTACTACTCAGTGATAAGCCTTCGTCGCAAAAAGAGGTGTCTCGCCTTTTATTATTAGTATAATGACTTCCTCACGTGCGGCAGGTTAGTTTGCTTCTAAAAACACTGTTTTCCGTTCCAAAAAATACAAAAGTAATTTTCTACCAGATGACCATGGTTCTTTTCACCGAGACTAGATAATTTCTCTCGGTGTAAGGATATAGCTATGGATAAGTTCATACAAGGTCAATAAATCCGCGGTCACTTCGGGTCACACTGTTGAGAAAATAAACCGATGGGTTTGTTTAGTAGCAAATCGAGCGTGAATCAACTGAGTTTGTACTGAAAAATTTTTGAGTGATATGTATGAACTGTCTTCACACATTCGGTTTATAATTAGCGATACACAGGTAGAGTGGCAAATGTTGTACTTCACAGACTGTTTACCTCCGAACTACCTCCGCCCGAAATCCCCGATTTGGGTACTTGTTAAAAGAAAAAGAAAAAGTCCCTGTGCGCGTGCCAGTAAAAAAAACCCTAAGAGTTCGCGAATAAAAATGCCCGAACGTACCAGGCGCCAGGTCATCAAGACTACGGAAATACATTTCGTTCAGTTAATTTCCGGTCTCATTTTTTTTGTGTGTATTTAGAGCTGGCAACAACCTAACTTCTTAACTCACTAAGGCGGCAACT